GGGGCAAGGCTGTTTTGACCGACGTTGAGCGGTTTTGACCATGCCACGCTGGCATTGACCACCACGTAGGACGCTCACATGCATCTCAGCGACATGTGGGGCCCGCGCGTCACCCACTCATTCCCTCCCTCTCCTTCCTCTGCCTCCAGCAGCTCTAGTAGAGCACGGGCACCTCGCCCTCGCCGCACAGCCACGTCCTCTCCGCAGTGATAGGCTGAGGTGGGGCAGGCACCGAGGAGCTGAACGAACTCCTGCATGTCACTCAACGCAACTGAGTTCATAGGCGGCGGCGATAGTTCACGAGCAGCTGACAGCGGAGGACGAGGCTGGGAAGGCACCGAACACCGTCTTCGCCGCGGCTCGTATGCCCGCCTGCGCCGCCGCTTACTTATCTTTGTCTTTGCTCCGTGCTATGCCGCTCTTGCCTCGCTCACGCGTGTGCCTTCACTACCATCGTCGCTGTTGTCCTCGTTACATTTGAACCACCGTGCACCGAGTGAAAAAGGGTCGCGATGACGACCGCCGCCGCTTACCGCTCCCTAGCAAAATGGAGCCCCAAGCTATCGTTGCACGTCGCTGACTACCATAAGCACCGTTTGCCTCCCCTGCGCCACTGAAAAAGGCCGCTGCCGCCGTGCTATTCCTCTATGTTAGGCTACAACAATGGAGGCAGCACACGTGCACCACTCTGCCCGAGACCGCGCCACCCCGTCCAAGGCAATACCACCGTCCAAGCACTACGCGACGCGCCCTCCTGTTGTCCCACTCGCTCGGACGCACCCCCTGCATGACCTCAGCCGATATCGGCCTTTGCCGAGCCTAAACCCCACGAAGAACCCAAACCGCCCTTGAACGCTTTCATCCCAGAAAAACCACGCCCCTTCGACGCTCTAATTTGTTCAACCCATAGAAACCGGATCCAATTCCTCGCACCAGTGCATCCACATGGGAGTTAGCTAGCCTACTAACCCACATTGATCATCATTCGTACGATGTAGCTATCCAAATTCTTGTTCTCCCCACCGCCAGTCAGTCCACCGCTGAGCCTTAACGATTTTGGGGGTAGGTCTTTACCCTAGGAGGTTTCTCGATTCCTTACACTAGTAGACTACCTATTACAACCCCTTTCTGATGATCTTGTTTGTTTGACCAGAGGCATCGCCGCAGATGGAGTGACGCCCTGGGTGCCAGCTCGGAGTGGCCCTGTCTCACCGAGCGCACGTGGCTAGCCTCCCTCAACCCTCCTCGGCCTCAACCATCACCACAACGGTGTATGATGTAAGATACAGTTGCTCACCCACCCCTCCACTTTTTCGGTTGATGCTCTTGCTTGCCAGAACACCGCCGCTATGGCGGAGAATGCCGCTGCCATCGCCGTGTGCGTGGCTAGTCTGCCGCATGCCTCTCTGCTCTTTTCCACGCCTAGGTCCGAAGCCGTGCGTGCTCAGAGCGCCTCCATAGACTTCCACTTGCCGCCGAGAGGCCACCCTGGCTCGAATCGGTCGAGCCGCCGCCGAGGGGAGCCAACTCTAATCTGTTTTGAAACGGGGATCGCGAAACATAAATTCATACCTGGCGGGCATACGGGCCGTAGCAGCACGGCATTCGACGCCTTCCCAGCCTCGTCCTCCGCTGTCAGCTGCTCGTGAGCTTGTGCTGCCGCCTACGAACTCAGCTGCGTTGAGCGACATGCAGGAGTTCGTCGTGCTCCTCGGCGCCTGCCCCACCTCAGCCTGTCTCTGTGGAGAGGACACGGCTGTGCGGCGAGGGCGAGGCGCCCGTGCTCAACTAGAGCTGCTGGAGCCGGAAGAAGGAGAGGGAGGGAATAAGTGGGTGACATGCGGGCCCCACATGTCGCTGAGATGCAGGCTAGCGTCCTACGTGGCGGTCAACGCTAGCGTGGCATGGTTAAAACCGCTCAACGTCGGTCAAAACAGCCTTGCCCCGCCCAGGTGCTAAAAGTGAACGGTTTTGACAGTTGAGGTACCGGTACTAGACAGTTTTGTAGTTGAAGGTTAAAATTAGACCAACAAAATAGTTGAGGGCCCAAAAGTGGACTTAATCCTATATAGAATGAAAACAACTCGCTGCCTGAACAAAGACTATTGTGACGACGAAATACAGCAAATGCACCTTTACTGCTCTGCTAATAACTCCATGAACGAGAGAACATAAGGAAGATAGTAAGGCCTGTTCATATAGAAACGCCCTCATGATCTACAAAAGCGGATGACACGCATGGATGACATGAACCTTTCTGCGGTCCATGTCATATGTAATCAATGTTATATCCTACCTAACAAGAAAAATAAAATTACATTCTAGATGAACCGTAATCACTCTGTACTCCGTATCACAAAGCTCAGAACCAACTTTAATATTCACGTGCCCAAATAGTTCTTCTGTGTCCACAACATGCTTCAATCTCCAGTTATCAGTATCATAGTCTTCAAATATCCACACTAAAAGCCAAGACATATTGTAAAAATCATCACAATACACACATGTGACCCTGAACTTGATGGATGGATATTCAAGATAAATACTCGTGATAACCCCGCTCATATGTTGATAAAGCCAGTTCCTAGAGCTAAGTTTGAGCTGTACTCAGGCTTAGTTGGTATTACAGTTTATGTCCTAGTGACTTTTGGCGTCGGTGATTATTTATTATTGAAGTGATTTGATTGATGATACTTCATTTGCTATAAGATGGAATTTGTCTTAAGGTGGATGTTGGAATATGATTCAAATTCTAACCTGAGTCTTGTGGGGACACCTGGAGGGCTTCGGATTCGGATTATATATTTAGCAGATTTGTTTCTGTATTGGATTACACTCCGTCCGTCCTATATATACATCTTGTAAGCCACACGGGAAGAGCTGACGACTCATTGTATTCCCTGCGTTTTGTAGAAGATTCCCGGTTGGCGCCCATGGTTCTTTCCCGCAAGGGTTTTCCACGTAAAAATATGTGTCTCGTGTTTGGTCTTATTCGCATTATTTGCTAACAGCTAGGATTATATGATCTTGCTCCTGTACTCACATGAGATATTCTTGCTCTCCTCCATGGTTTTATGGACGTACTAAGGCAAGTACACATCAACGGTCTCGTACGACGTCTCATGCAGTACGACGTAGGGTTTTTGCTGATGTGAAGGGAAGAGAGAAAGATGTCATTGTTTCGTGGAACAACCAGAGCTAAAATTTAGAAGTACGAGATAACTATTCTACCATTATATGAGTTGTTGTTGCTGTATAACTCACAACATTACTTTTATTCTATGCATAAATTAAGAAATTATGAGTTATTACGAGACAACTTAAAAAACAATCATTGTATATGTTGTCCATAAAATTACTTTAAAATTACGTGGTACTGCATGAGACCATCTACGAGACAATATCAATGTAATTGCCCTAACGTCTAGAGCAAATAAGAATGATTTAAAGAAAAGGCATGATTAGAGGTTTAAGACTTACTTATCTTATTTTGATCATATTTTTTAATTAATCCCTGTTGAAAAAAATAATTTAGATTACTTGTATAATTAAAATTCAAAGGCAAATTTCACCGCAAAGAAAATCTAAAAACTTAGGGAAAAAGTCTACTTAACCCCCCACATTTCATACATGGTCTACTTCACCTCAACTATGAAACCGTCTGTTTTATCCCTGAACTTTCTAAAACCGTCTATTTTACCCTCCGGACGGTTTTCGACAGCGGTTTTGCTACAGCGCCAATGGGTTCGAATTTTCTTTTTTTTTTAATTTATTTTCGGTGAATTTTTGAAAAATCACAGTAAATCATAGAAAAATCATAAAATAAAAAATCTAATTTTATTGGACTTCACATGAGTAGATCTACACAATAAATATATAATACGATATGTTTTAGTACAAATTTTTTTATAGCTTTAGATTAATTGAAAAATCCAATTTTTTCTGTAATTAATTAGAATTTATCTATAACTAAGTTATACATAGTCCAATGAGTACGAAATTTTTACTATAGTTCAAGCATACAATAATTAGCGTACCATAAAATTTTTACCACAATTGCATCATAGAAGCTGCAGCTATGAATTATTCCAATTAATTACAGACAAAATTAGATTTTCCAATTAATCTAATGATACAGTAAAAATTTTGTACTAAAGCATACCGTATTATATATTCACTGTGTAGATCTACTCATGTGGAGTCCAATAAAATTAGATTTTTCTACGATTTACTATGATTTTTCAAAAATTCATCGAAAATAAAAAAAAAGAAATTCAAATCCACCGGCACTATAGCAACCCGCTGTCAAAAACCACCGGGGGGTAAAATAGACGGTTTTGAAAAGTTCAGGGGGTAAAACAGACAGTTTCATAGTTAGAGAGGTAAAGTAGACCATGTATGAAAGGTGGGGGTTAAGTAGACTTTTTACAAAATTAGGTGAAAATTTGGGGGCTCACATCATCATTAATTTCCTCCGCTGACCCTGTGCGCTAGTTATTCCGGTTATAGCAGCGGAATTAAGATTTATACTAACATCAGACGTCAGACAAAGATTCGAAAAATTGTTCCGGAAAAGGAAAGTAAACAGAATATAATACATGAGATTCAAAATTTTGGGCGAGAGACCAATCAACAAACCTCCGGCGTTGCCCATCAGCTTCTTCTCCCCCTTCCCACACCACCTCCCTCCCAAATCAGCCCGTGGCCCAAATTCACTCGGGCTTTACCTCTCCGAATCCTTCTCCATCGCCTCTTCGAATTCCGCTTCTCGATTTGATCCCCTCCCATCGGCGCTCTTCTTTTGCTTAGTTTTTCCTCCTATTATCTCGAGTTGGAGCTGACCAGAAAGTCGAGTTTCTTGGCTCCTGATTCAAACTATTCTAATCCGAGCCAGGCTGCAAAGATTGAATTTTGAGTTCTTTGCGAGTGGTTTAGGTGGATAAATCGGGCAAACTATAGGGGAATTCATGACCTAAGCTGGTGGAAAGTTTAGTTTGGTGATGGAGGAGAAGCAGCAGGTGGAGCCGCCGGCGCTGGTGCCGGAAGCGGGAGCCGAGCCAAGGGCGCCACCACAGCCGCAACAGCAGCCGAAGCCGGCGGTGCAGGTGCAGCCTTCTATGCCGGTGCTGAGGCCATGGCCAATGGAAATCACGCTTTCTATGTGAGCAAACTGTTTCGTTTGAGAATTTGAATTCTACTCTACGGTCTTTTGATTTTTGGGTATCCAGAATTCAGGCCGATGCATTTTTTGTTTGTATTTGTCCTTTTCAAAAGTCTTAGTTGCTTGTAGACAGCAGTTAGTCAGTCCTGGTTAGGGATTATTATTATTTGCATGGAGGGGGGCTGCCGGGGGGGGGGGGGGGGTTGAGGGTGTTGGAGATGATGTATGAGGATGCACTATAAGTTGTGTTAAGATGTGTTCTGACAGCAGGCACTCCACTGCTTTGCAATGCTGAGGTAATGGATTAGTAAAGTTTGACTATTTTTCTCCTGGTGACATTATTAACCATTTTGAATTTGAATTGGTATAAATTGTTACTAGTAGTACTGTGGTCTTCTTAGACATGTAGGCTTATAACTTTTCGTTATGATTCCATTCCTGTCTGGTTAACTCTGAGGTGTCATTTTTTGGAGAACAAATGTTTTGGTGAATAGAGTTGTCTTTATAGTTTTTCTTTTTCTTCTATGCCTTGGAGCACAGATCGAAACAATGTGTGCCAAAATAATCACACATGATATGGCCATCCGAACTCTGTTTTGTTTTTATGGGAATGTGCCTTATGTGATATGTTAGTAGTTATTTGCAAGTCATTTTAGTGTCCATGTGTGAGTATACTTCCATTTGTCCTTGCAGAAATAATGCAAGTACTGCACTTGTATGCAAAGCGCAAAAAAAATTATTTTGCTTATCTTTTTTTTGTTTCAGGAAGCCTGTGGTTGAAATGAAGAGTGGCACCCCAACCAAGAAAAAGAAGCACTGTAATTGCAAAAACTCACAATGTTTAAAGCTGTGAGTACAAGAATTTTTGTTTCAATCATGCACATCATTTATTAAAACATTGAATGTAGTTGAGTGATATATGCAAATGCATACTTCTACATACATTTTCTTGGAAATAGGGACAGCACTGCATTGTTATGTCAGTGATTAACTGAATTTTGAATGCATACTTCTGAGTTATTTCTTAATGGGAAGTTCTATATTTTAAATTGTCAACTAGAGTTGAATGGGTTGATCTCTTCACAGAAGAGAAAAAAAGGATGATTAATTCTATTACATGAAGAGTTTCCTCTATTGTCCTTATCCTCACCAGTAGAAAAATGTATTAAAAATACACGATTACATGAGGTCGTTTTGTCTAGAGTGATGTTTATATGTGTTGGACAAATATAGAAAAGGGAGATATAATACTCAAGTCTCAGTTTGAAGAAGATTACATATTGTTGCTGAGCCATTTTAAAGCAAAGTCTGCAGTTTAGCTTTGGTCCATTTATCTATTTTTTTTTTATTTTTCTCATTGGATTGTTTTGTTCTCAAATTTTGCTAATATTCCAATTTGGTATGTTCAACTTTTGTACTTTATCCAAATTAATGAATACCAACTTATAATGTAATATGGTAATTTATTATGAAAAGAGCATCATGTGAATAGAAGGTACAGCGACTAACTTGACATATATTTCTTAGGTACTGTGAGTGTTTTGCAGCAGGTGATTACTGTGATGGTTGCAATTGTAAACAATGTGGAAACACTGTTGAGAATGAAAAGGGTAGGCAGGACGCTATTAACAACACAAAGCTACGAAATCCAAACGCTTTTCAACCTAAGATTGAAAATGGTCCAATTCCTCCCAGTGTTCGGAAGGTACATCCATTGCACTGATGGAATGATTTGGCTGTATTATTATTTTTGTATCATAACAGTAGTTAATTTCTTAGACAAAAGTAGATGCCCTTCAAAATATATATAAGTTGATAAATAGTTGTTTTAATCTGTATGGACCATGGAGTTAATCATGCTTGTTCCATAATTTTGCTTGCATTTTTTTCATTTGTCCCACTTGTGCATATAGAAACCATACATCTAAAATTCGCTGAGTCCTAGAACAAGAACAGTTCATACTGATGCACTGGTGTTACCTTGCTGCTAGTTTTATCAGGTCTCTTTGCACAGTTCTTTCGTACTTGTACTTGTAGCCTAACAGTCCTTTTTGTCATTCCCCATGCTAAAGTTCATGTAGGTGGAACAACTAGATTTCATGGCAGCATCCTGATATACGCTAGGTGGCTAGTAACTTCTGTTTACTTTTCCATATATGCTATGTTCTAAATCAAAACTCTTTTGTGCTGCCATTAGTTAAAATCTTATGTATTATGCTTAATTTTTCTTCTGAACAGCATTCCCTTCATTATTTTGGGTTTTGTTGCACTATTGAAGTCATCCTTTTTATGTTTTATTTACTTCTGTGGATTCAGTTGAAATATTTCTTTATATGTTTCATATATTGTTTAGCTAACCTTAGCCATTTGAACTGGCTATCAGGATGCTGGAGCACTACCTTCACTTCCAAAGCATAATAAAGGTTGTCACTGCAAGAAGTCAGGTTGTCTAAAGAAATACTGTGAATGTTTCCAAGCTAATATCCTTTGCTCCAAGAATTGTAAATGTATGGATTGCAAGAACTTCGAAGGGAGTGAGGAGCTACGGAGTACAATTCAAGGGGATAATTCATGTGATCGAAATAACATTCAACAAGCAGCTAATGTTGCTCTGAATGGTGCCATTGGATCTTCAGGGTATAGATTTTCTCCAGTACGTAGAAAAAGGCCTCCAGAAGATCCCCACTATCAGAGATTAAATGTTGAAGGAAGTATGATGCAGACACAGTTTCAAGAGGTATTGATTTTGTCTTGGATGATTGTTTTGACCAGTCTGGTGCTGATTTACTTAATGTATTGATTTTTTCTTAGTTTAGCCGTAACATCTCTGGACTGAAGATTGTTTCTTGTGTTCTAGGCTAACAATGTGGATGTTTCCCAAATTACTTCATCTACTGGACGTGGTGGTTCCACTGGCAATTTGCAGGGTAGATCTAAACTGGTATATAGGTAAGTGAATAATAATTATTGTCTTGTTTGGACCTATGAGCGAAAGGTTTTCAATGAACTTCAATTGTCTTGCGGCTATTGCCTTTTTAAATGTATATAAGCCCTGGACTGTTGAAGAAAAATTTCACTTAGCGTGGGACAACGCACTTGAAGTGTGTTGTTGTGGCACCTAGGTGTGGTGCTGGCTAACCAGGGCTCGATTCCTGGTTCTCACAAAAAAAGGCCCCTTGTCCGTGCCTATTTTTAGAGTTATATATGCTGCAGGCTGCAGGCATGTCTTGGCCTCTTGGGTAGCTCGCCTTCAGGGGCTTTTCTCAATCCTGCAGCTTGAGAATTTTTTTTTATTACTGCAGTAATACCTTAGGGGAGGTCCACCCCTAGGGCTGTTTTAGTTGCTTGTAGTTTGTGCCATCTGGCAGTAGTATCATTCTACCACTGCACTAGCGATTTGGCTCATGAAAGTTTATGATGTTTGCCTTTTTGTTCTCAAATATTTTTCTCTGTTCAACTCAATAGCAAATCCTTTAGTCCCAAACAGTTTCGGGTAGGCTAGAGATAAAACCAACAAGATCCACCAAGACCAATGTAAAAAGAAGTAAAGAAATACTTTCCTCTGTCCAAAGAAAAATATATGTTGTTTTAGTCTTTTAGACAATTCAAGGTGCAGCTTGAACTATTGATTTAAACATGTTATCATGAAAAGTATTCAAATATTATTTCGATATATGGCAAATCAACATTTTTTTGGCAATAATGGATATTGCGGTACTATTACAATGATTGCTCCTTATGTGCTTTTATGTCCTCCTGATGAAATATCATATATATCTTTTTAGGTCTCCACTAGCAAATACTATCCATGTTACTGATGTCAACGACCTAGCCAACCATTTGGTGATTGTATGCAGAAAGGCAGCAGAGAGGTTCACGACAATAGTTGGTACACAATTTTATCCTTTTCCTGTTTGACTGGTCTATTCTCAACCTCTGCATAACATTTTAATCTGGTGAACTCAATTATTCATATGATAGAAAGATGGACTGCCGTGATGATCAGAAATAAAGGAAAAAAACTGTTTATTTTTGCACCTTCAGAAACTTTTATGCATTTAACATTGCCTTATGTGCTCGATAATGTGTCATTTGGACATAAAGGACTACATATGATTATATAGCTATTTATAAAATAAGAGAAATGGGTAGTTTCCCCATCTGTTTCTGTACTTAACTATAAATTTGTGCAACTAAAGGAATTGTTCTGCTTTATCGGGGACAAATACAGTGCCTATCATTTTGATGCAAAACTTAAAACATCATTTTGGCTTAACGTCCAAGTATCAAATCAACATTAAAAAAAACAGGACCAAATGAATCAATGGAAGTGAATGTAAGCATTCAAGGTTACTTTTACTGAAGTTTTTTTTATTGCAGATAACAAAGAGGAGATGGAAATAGATAGGGAAATTTGCACAAATACTTACCAAAAGTTTGATGAGAACAAGGAAGTCCAGAAAGCTGCTCTTAGTCAACTTGGCAAAGTGACTAATATAGATCAGCAAATTGTTGATGACTCCAGATTGCATTGCTCTGACACCCAAGAGGATGCTAGACCTGCCTCTCCAGGAACACAAGCGCTGTTGTGTGATGAGCAGGATCTCACATTTGGTACAGCTCATAGAAGTCCAATTCCAGTAGCATTGCATGATCAGGACATTTCAGAGCTACACGCTGCACAAGAAAATGCAGTGTTGAAGGAGTTCAGAAACTACCTCCGGCTAATTATCGCACGTGGAAAAATAAATGGTGAGCTTGTATCATGTAGTTTTCAAATTAGTCATTTTGTACATTCATCATGTAGAAAAGGCAGCAAGATGAACTGAAAATTGAGAAATTTGAATTCTCTCCAATGAAGTTGATGCCGCATAAGTTGGTTTACAGTTGGTAAAGGATTGTAGTTAGCGAACTTGTTGACCTATATGTTCATCAGATTTTGTAGAAAATGAGTTTATTAGGTCCTACGAACCATCAACAAAATATTTTCAATGCTCTGACAGACTAAGAATCTAAGTCAGCAAATGTTTGCATACTGTTCTTGTTTAATATAATATTTCAGTCGATATATTTGAAATAACATTTTTTTTGCATGTGAAATGTGTGCTGTTTTTATTATTTGTTTATTTCCATTTCTTATCTGAGGTGATGGTTTGCTGGTATAGCAGAAGGAAAATCCTCATCAGGGACAGGGATGGAATCAGATGCTCCAAGTCATCATGAATCAAGCACCAGTTTAGCCCCAGTAAGAGCTGAAGAAAAAACCAATACTAAGGATGACCCTGAAGATCCTAAAACAAGTCGATCATTTGCGTCAAATGGTATATCAACACACGAACTAAAATAGATTTAGCTCAGTTTGTATTTTTCATGTCAAGATAAGATATGTATTGTACCATAGCCAATATCTGTGTACATATGGATAGTATAGTCATTGTTGCTAGAAAAGGCAACCGGCAATGTAGCATTAATCATCCACGAGATGTAAAGTAGGAAACAAAGTCCTGATCATGTAATTTTTTTTTATCAATAATGAGTTTTATATGATTATCCTATTCCAATGTAAGAAATATACCTTTTCCTTTGAGAAAAAAAGTGTAAGAAATAGTTGGGGTTGTATATAAGTGCAACAAAAAAAAAACTGAAGATATGGCAAAAAAAAAATGACACGTTTATTTGAAATACTTGAGGACTAGTCACTCAAATTTGAGTGTTTATTAGACAAAGAACGACAAATTTGTAATCCTAGCTCAACAATTTTGAGAATCTTGTAACAATAACCCAGAGAAATTTCTAGAAAAAAGAGTTGGTGAACATTCATTTGCTAGCGATTTCTTAAGGCATTCTACAGTTTTCGGACAACAAATCAAACTACCATTGGTTGCTCTAACAAACAACCTGCAGTCCTTGTGGCTAGAACTAGAATAGAACAGTGGCTAGCCATGGTCTAAGTAGGTTAAATGCATGTAAGGCGATTGTGAAGGAAAATTTAGGCACATGTATCTGTAGTTTTTCTATTGATTTCATACTAAGCGTAATGACCTGATGCAACTGAGCTTAAACATATGATAACCAAGCCTGCTCTTTCATCATAAAAGTAATACATCAATATGCTTGAGGTGAAGTCTCACATCAGCAATTGAACAGACTGAAGTCTACACCAAAGGCCAAACACAATCAAGTAACAGTAACTGATGTCAAAATGGTTATTGCACCAGCCCAATGCTTGCTTGATCTCCTGAACCATGCCACGGCTTCCTTTAGGTAATCCAGAAGCCCCCAAGCCTTTGGAGGTGTGAGACACTCCTAAATAAAGGCTTTTTAAAGATTTGTTGCTCCTGTGTGACTGTTGACCATTGTGCCGTGATTAAGGCGGGTCCTCCACACATGCCGGATTATTGAACTTTGACGTCTTTTCCTTCAGACATGCGCTATCTTATTACAAGATCTATTGACATAAGGTAATCGGGCAAGACTAGGATTTAGGCGCCCAAATCGTTGGACCCTCCACGGGAGGACTACTCTCCGCAAAATGCCGTGGAGGTGCGACCGCCCAGAGCCTCCATCATAGGCTCCCATGCTCCCGAGAGCCACTTTGAACTGGCCCAGCTCGGGAGCTCTGGCGCCACTGGAATCGGCAGCCTGGAAGGCAGCGTCAGAGTTAACTTTGATCCATCCGAGCATTTTAGTACTTATCCTTGGAGCCACGGACTCTTATCTCTTTTTACCCACAACACAGGTTGCATACGGTGTGTTCACCATGTATGTTCTTCTCGACCACATCCCGCATAATATGACTGCCATATCTCTGGTCGGTTTCAGTGGGGATCGGGTCGTATCTGAGCCCCCTTGAGCCTCTCTTCAGGGGCACCACACACTCGGGACGGTCCGCGTTTCTGGTTTCTTCGTCCTCCATCCTCGGTTTCACGCAATCGGAGGGGACTCGTCGTTTGTCTCACGACCGCTTGTTTGGTCTCTTTGCGATGTTCCAAGAGCCCCCATGGTCCCTCTCCTATCGAGCCCCTCTATAGGAAATAGACATTCCCTAGCAAGGGTCCAATCCAGCAGGTGTCGATTCATCTTGTTATCGTCGTCCCTCACGCGTCCATTTGCTAGAACGGAGGGGTTGAGTCGTGCCGTGCTTTCCTCGCTGGACGGAGCACGGTGCTCGGTGAGTTGTTAACGGGCTTGTTTGAGTGGAGCCCCAGCATCCCCTTCATGGGGGCCCGATTCGAGATCAGATGGTGATTGACTCTAGATTCTTGGTGGTCGGTCCATATAGTTCTCGGATCCGTTCGACCGGTCTGAGGGCTCGATGCCTTTCTTCGGGGAAAAATCATGGACCTTGCATCATCCAAGAATCGAAACGAGGGTCAGGACGCCCATGGCGCTTCGCGCACCTCAGGTATTGGCCGCTAGCGGGCCCGTCCTTAACCTTCCCTCACTCTAGGGTGCCTTGGAGCGGTCGTGAACCCGCTGGTGGGCCAACCTTCAAACTCCTGGGTGCTAATAGGCCGTGGGAGCATTTTTAGCTCCATATCCCACTTACCTACGGCGGCCTGTAGCCTTTGAAGGCGAACCGTCGCTCGGCGGATCCTTCACGGGGAAGATTTGGATAGGCATACGCTCGTCTCTCGAGGCAGCGATGCGACTGATGCAGCATGGAATAGTGAGGGCACGACCCCCGAAGGAAACAGATCTGGCGAGGCGTGAGGCACGTTAATTTAGGCGGATGGTTCGCCCCTTACCCGTTCCACCCTTACCTTATAAATAGAGCCGTTTCTCCCCAGCCTTCGTATGCGTAGCCGCATCCTTGCCCCTCCAGTCTTTCTGCCTTTCACTCTCAAGTTCTGGCCTTCGCTCCCCTGTTTTTGCTCCGCCGCCGGCAAAGTTCTCATTCTCCAGCCCTATGCCACCGCCGGATCTTCTACATCGCCATGCTCGTTCCTCAATGGAGCCGTGGTTTCGCTCTGACTTTTTCCACGCGCGCATGGAAGGTCTAGTTAAGAAGGGCCTTCTCCATGCAAGGACCGTGGTGATGGAGTGGATCATACTTGGTGGTGAGGATGCGCTGTCGCGCCTAATGGCTATGTCGTCTCCTTCGTCCCCTTCCACGAGTGTGGGTTCATGACTCCTCCCTACCGATTCCTTCGAGGGCTGCTGCACTACTACGGGCTTGAGCTGCAGCATCTGAATCCCAATAGGATTTATCACATCTTGGCCTTCGTCGTGCTGTGCGAGGGGTATTTGGGGATCAAACCCCACTTCGAGCGGTGAAAGTACTTCTTCGCCGTTGAGCTACAGAAGAAGGAGTGGAAGAAGCCAGACCTGGCGGTGTCGATGGGATCTGTGAGCATCCATCTTTGAGGCAAACAGTCATTGGAGTACATGTCCATCCTATTATCGAAGTCTAACAAGGGGTGGCATAAGCTCTGGTTCTACCTGAGGAACGACGCCGCCCCCCTGCTGATCTTCACCGTCCGCCTGATCGAGGAGGCACCGGACACGTGGAGGTACGGGCCCGTCCGAAAGAGCGAGAAAGAGGCTCGGTGACCTTCTCAAAGCCATCACGGCTCTGAAGGGCCATGGTCTTCGTGGGACCAACGTCGTCGGAACGTACCACGTCAGGAGGTCGGGTGCCGCTGATGGCGCGCGCTCTTCTAATGTACAAGATGACACCGGATTCCACGCCCAAAGGGACGGTGATGGTCGCCGGTGAGGCCCTCAGCGTCGGCAAAACAACACAACGCATCAAGGAGGTGATGGAGTGCCCGGTGGATCCGTCGGAGGATCTCGCCCCGGTGTACCCTGTCTCGGGGCATCCCGCTATGCGGCCGGACGTGAGTTTCATCGAACTGGTAAGACTTCTTCGAGTTTCTTTCCTTGGCTGACCCTCCTCTGTTCTCAGATTCTAAGCGCTAGGATTTGTAGCCTGGCCTCTTCGCCTATGAGTCCGACCTGCCACTGCCAAAGGACGCAGCCAGGAGGGCAGCGAACCACGTCGCGGCTGAGGCGGTGAAGGTGAAGAAGGAGCGGAAGAGGGCGAAGAAGGAGCGAGCAAAGCTATAACGTGGAAAGCGCCGACAAGGCTTGGAGGAGGCGACAACGATGAGGAGGAGGAAGAGTCTGACCCCAACATCCCATGGGGTGCGCTTGCGCACGAGGATGAGAAGGCCGACGCGGGGCAGGCCAACATGACCCTGATTCCGCAGCATGCCTCGACGCAAATTGAAGAGGATGCGCCTCCAAGATCGGCAGGGGAGGATGTGCCCCGAGGTTGGAGGAGCAAGTTCGCCCTGCTCCGACCGACCCCACCGGGGGATCGAAGCGGCCAATTGCCGACGTGGCTGGAGTTGGAGTTGAGCGACTAGCCCCCGAAACATTCTCGGATAATGGCGTCGAGGTGAGTTAATGCCTTCTTCGCCCTTTTGTTGCGTTCTCAAATTTTGTCGTGTGACATTGGTGGTTTCCGTAGGACCGGCCCCAGCAACCTCCTAGCATTGGCGCCATAGAAGATCCTGGCGCGTCGGCCAATCCCCTAGGAGCCGACTGGCGTGGTGCCGGGGGCGTGCCATGATGGCGCCGAGGCGAACACGGTGCCGCCTGAGGAAGCGGAGGCGGAGGCACCGATTGTGCGGAGGAGGCACTCGTGGAATCAGCGCCCGCGCCGATCGACGCGCCCAAGGTGGGGCAGACGAGAGGAGGTGATTAGAGGGTCCGCTGCGAATGCGGCGATGGCTCGGACTTCGGAGCCCAAGTTGCCAGCCTCCTCTGCCATTAGAGGGTCCGCTCCTAAGGGAGCGCTGGTGATGGACGAGGTACCGTCGGCTCAATGTCGACGGTTGCGATGGCTGACCCCTCGGTTGGGGCTGGGCCCTCCCGATCCCTTATCCGGCTAGGCGACGATCCGCTCACGTGGGGAAGAAAACCAGCTCCATTGGGCCAGGCGGCTGGACCCGAGCGACTCGGTGTTCACCCTCGATGACCCGATGGAGGTGAAGGACTTGATGAGCGTGCGCTCGGGACTTGAGTCTGCAGTCCGCTCTCTGATCGACGCATTGGGGGTGTTGAAGGATGACGTCGCCCCAGCCGGCCAGGTTTGTCGTGTCTTCGTGTTTTCTACTTTCGAGCCCTGTTTATATAATTCTACCCTGATTTTTTCGTAGGCCCTTGTGATGCGTAGCCGGGAGAAGTCCCTTTTCCTCCATCACGAGAGGGAGGTCTAGGGGCTTGCTACCAAAGTGCCACGGCTGTAGGAGGAGGTGGTGAGCCTCCAGACCAAGGAACGAGAAGCACGTTAGCACGTCGACGAGGCTGAGGACAAGCTCAAGGCTATTGTCATCAAGGCCGGGAAGATGCCATGGAGCTTGGATGACTTAGCCCGGCCCTCGACCTTGCTCATCAAGGGAGCGCCAACACTCGGCACGCTCAAAAAAACGAGTAGAAGTTAAAGGAAGAAGCCGAGGGCCTGGCCGTTGTCTTGGCCGGGGATGTTGGCGTGCTCTAGAGGGAGAAGATGGTCCTCGAGGAGCAAGTGAAAGGTGAGGCTTTGGTTACCTTTTTGCTTGACATTTGTAGTCGGTTTTCTGACGCTCTTTGATGTTTAGCTTGGGCAGTCCTACAGAGGCAACTCTTCGAGGTGTGGGGTCAACTCCATTGGAGAGCGACGACCACGACACCTTGCACGCTGCCGTCGGGTTGGTCTTCAATGACCTCGAGGTCGCCCTGGTCGTGGAGACAAGCTCGCTCATAGTCCGGGTTATCCAAATCCTAGATCGAGCACGCACACTCGCAAGGGAGGCCTTGTACACCGGCGTCCATTGCGTGTTCACCATCGCCCACTCCCACTACATTAACATCGACCTGCCGATGATCAGTGAGGGCTTCGCGCCTGGCTACACTGACGCCGAGCTAGAAGAAATTGAGAAGGAAGCGGCTCCCCCTGGCGCAGGACCTAGCGGAGAAGGTTGGAGAAGAAATCCTGCCCAAGGGTGTTTAGTTAGATAGCTGAGTCCGGCGTCGGTCTTTTTGTAAAGACTTTTATAATGGCCAAAAACGTTGTTTGGCCTTTCTATATATATATAAAGTTTGTTACGATCTAACCCTTGTTTTATGTTAAGGCATTAGAAACTTAAGTTGTGAGCGACTAAGTAATGATCACGTTGGTGAGCAAGCGATGTCGTAGCCGTCGGGGCGTAGACTTTTTGCATTCCGATCAGTTTTACTCATCATTAGTTTTTGGCAACTCTTATTTCTAGGTCTTGTCATAAAAAAGAAGGGTCGGATGGGAAAATGTTTC